AACTGAAACATCATTTTACGACCTTTGGTGGCTTACATAGAGTTTCGCCTTAGAATTCGTAGCAGCACCGTCCGGTGGGGTGGAGGGAGTTGTGTATTCTCACTTATCCCCAGGGTAGACTACTAGTCATTGCAGTACTGCCGATACGATAATTTACCCACTCTAAATCCTTATAGTTGGTATACTTTAGATAGTTTATTAACACTACGCTGTTTAGGCTGGAATTCCACCTATTTCGATCCCCTGAATATTGCAGTACAGGGGTTTTCTTTGGGGTCTGGTAAATCATCAGTGCAACGAGCAATCAGAATTTGCTGTTGTTATTCGATGATGAATCCAGGACGGACTTCAACATGTCAGGCAGATAAAATTCTTGCGCAAGGGATCATACCTGTTTCTTCTTAAAAATGGAAGTATTTGCACACTCTTGTTTTTGTAATTATCAATTTTTTCCCTAGCAACCGGCATCCGTGCCAATACGTTACATGAAGCGGACACCAACTTCATATCTACGTCGCTATAAATTTAGGTTTCAAGTAAAAACAATATTGCTGAAACATCTCCATAACCGTCAGTTAAATGACTGCTGGCAATCTTTGCCAAATCCACTTTCCAATGATCTTACACTTTCCCTTGAATTTTCATACTGTCAGTAACTTAACGTTTATGTTGAAGAGCTGAAGGCTGAGGACGAGAATATAAAGAGCAATCATGTCATATTATTCGAAATTACAAGGTTAGGTCTCGATTAAAAGCAATTACTTATATAAGGCCGTAATAATAATCATTCTGCCTCGTAATGCCCAAACATTTCACTCAGGTGAAGCCGCCTTCTTTCAAATGAGCCTCCTTTTAGCTGCCGCCAAATGTGCACTATAAAATACCCAATATTAAAACCCTACTACAATAGTGCTTTTTTCCAATCCAAAGCACACTTTAGAATTTTGCTTAACATTTCATGACAAAGCCTTTCTACTGTATGATTTAGTGGGCAACGTTGGGGAGAACATAAAAGATGGCTGCTTTATACAGGAATCACTCGGTAGCCTAGACGCAGGGTAGTTCTCAGACCCGTCTAATATATCCACGCTGGTCACGCCGTCTAACCGTCAAAATGGGTATGCTTAAATTCCCCCCTGGGTTGAATATCCTAATATTAACAAGTTTTTATAGGTTATTGGTTGGAAATAATGTTTCCCGCTAGTTGTTTATGCCGCTTGGACACCTCCTACTTGCCTTCAGGAGGCACAAATAGAGTGGCTTCGAGGGCGTGTTTGCGTTTTCTAGTCAGGGGCGGTAACATTTTCCAAAAAAAAACAAATAACTCGTTCAGCCAGTTTGTGGGCACACGCAACGTCCTGTTCGGTGCCATGAAGTGTAAATGGCACTCTGTCTTCGAACAAATTCTCTTCACGTTCATTGTCCTTGGAGGTCGTACTAGAGCCTACAGCGGCAAAACAGCCCCAGCTTAACCGCAGAATAAGGTGAACATGTTTATCCTCACTTCCGAAAGTAGTTATTCCGTTGAGTAATCCCCGGTTGTAATTTAAAACAGGATCCTCATGCTTCACAGATGCTGACTGTTCTCTATGACCTGGGCGATCTTGTGTTAAGCGCCTTATTTAAAGGCTATTCCATCATAATTGGTCCGCAGTCCGGCTGCGACTGTGATTTTGTCACGGACTGGATACGCGTATCGGGTATCGCGGCCGTCGCGAGCGATCGGATCTTCCAGATCAACTTTGCCTGTCGCATGTTCGTTTTCCAGATGGATTTCATTGTGCCAAATGCACTCTGTAAGCAACAGGATGTCTTACTGCCCTCCCAGATGCCTTTCTTCATGTTGGCTTCTATCGCCTTACCCACCGAGCTGACTTCGATCGTTCACGCGCTCGGCACCTTTCTGTAAGCAACGGGATGGAGCCGAGTCAGCATATTTTTTGATGTCAGTCAAAAACAGAACACAAACGCCGACGTGGCGTTGAAGTTGGCTAACGCATTAAGTATCGATGTCAATGGATTGCAAATAATAACGGCACACAGGGTTAGGGAGAACTCTGACCTTATCGAACTTTTGGGAAGAAAGACCAGCAAACCAGGTGGTGAAATTTGTTTTTATTACTTAGCTTTTAACGTTTTTACTAGGATAGGAAAACGTTGGGAAAAAGAGTGGAGATCTAAGTTCGGTAGACCATATTAGACGGGGAAATCAAATAAAAAGTGTTGCAAAATTAAATTCTTTAGTAGCGATTCATTTTTTAATGATCCTTCTGGTGGTACAGATTCAGTCGGGGGACTGCTTATATACCTTAACCGGAAAATGGAAACATCTATCAGAGTTTGCTGCGAACGGCTGTTGAAAAAAATATTTCCTTTTGCCAGTATTTTAGAAATTCATAAATTATGGCATTTATTGTCCAATTCTGTAAAATTCGCACCTAATAGGAATACTTTAGGCACGATATGGCAAGGCGAAATAAAACCAGTTAGCAGATATATGAAGTGGTTATCGAGAAGGACATGCGAGAGTGAAGTGAGCAACTCCGGCTTACAGTCTTTGCACAGCCGAACCCCAAAACCCGGTTGAGATAAACTGATATGCAGTCCAGGTAAAATTGGCCAGCAAGAAGTTAAGTCAATCATTCTACCCGTAACATCCACATCTTACCGTCAGCGGTTTTTAAGCACTTCCTCGCCAACCTTCAGACGAAGAAGGTGGATACGCGTTTTTTATCCCGCGTTTGGTAATCACACTCTTATCCATAATCGACAACAGAATCAGAAAATTTTACTTGTTTGTAAAAATTTTTTGGGATTCATTTGCTATAATAGCAAAGATTATACACAGTAATGGCAATCAAAATTCGGAAATGTGTGTCTCTCTCGAACAAATTACTTAGGTAGGAGTCTAATTTTGATTATCGTGCAGTATAATTACAAGGCATATCAGTCACGTCATTATGTCGGATTTTAAGAGGACTTCGTTCTGTGCGCCTGCAATTTTAAATGGGAAGTTTCGCGAATTTAAATTTTTTATTTAAATATTTTTGTCCAATGTGATATTTTGAAGTTCAGTAAGCTCCTTTTAAAATGCCTTTATATTGTTTGAATACTTACACTCGAGTTTTTCTCTCATGAAGTGTCAACGTATATTGTGAAATGCGTTCTTGATTGGACAAAAGTTATTATGTAGGATTATAACAGTATTAGAGTGTAGCCTAATTTTCAGGTAGGTCAGGGTGAAAAACACTACGCTGTGTTAA